CTTATCCCTCGCGGCAACTTGCATGATCACCAATACCCCCCCCCCCTTATCACTCAGCTCAACCTGGGACATCACTAATACCCCCCCCTTATCACTCGGGTAAACTTGCATGATCACCAATACCCCCCTTATCTCTCGGGTCAACTTGCATGATCATCAATACCCTCCTGTTATCACTCGGATTAACCTGGGATATCACCAAAACCCCCCCTTTTCACCCGGGTCAACCTGGGTCATCACCAATACCCCCTCTTATGACTCGGGTCAACTTGCATGATCAACAATACCCCCCCTTATCTCTCTGGTCAACTTGCATGATCACCAATACCCTCCCGTTATCACTCGGGTTAACCTTGGACATCACCAATACCACCCCCTTATCACTCAGGTCAACCTGGCACATCACCAATACCCCCCTTCATCACTTGGGTCAACTTGCATGATCACCAATACCCCCTCCCCTTATCACTCAGGTCAATCCAGGATATAACCTATACCACCCCCTTATCACAGGTCAACCTGGCACATCACCAATACCCCCCTTTATCACTCGGGTCAACTTGCATGATCACCAATACCCCCCACTTCCATACAAGTCTTTTGAAATGCAACACCTGCAAACTTGACCTGTTAAATGCAGGTCAGACAGAGGTCAAATGCAACCGTCAAATAATTCTGAATAATCTCAGAAGAGTGTCAAATTGATGCCATTGACACAAGTCCTACGCCCAGTGACACAGGCTCTAATAAAGCCATTATAAGGACAACAGCCATGGCTGTACTGCCTATGAAAAATCTCAGGATGAATTACAGAGATTATCTACTTTACCATCTCAAAGTATCCAACAGCATTGATGGCTTGGATGTACATGGCAAAGGCATGGACTTGTCTGGACTGGCTTTTTCATTAGCCAAAGTAGGCCTATAGGCAGCAGAGATGTACATTTTTCCTCCTATAGTTATCGGTCACACATTTTTCACATCATGAGTAGAATGAAGACATCACATATACGCTTATTTAAAAGAGATCAGAACACACAAATCCTATTCATTGTCCCATGCAAAAAAATATAAGCTTATTCACACAGTAGACTCAAAGCTTTACACAAGGATTAGGATCTTTATTATCAGCCATGCAATCATAATTCTAAATTTTAATTGGACTCAGCTGAAAAAAACTGTCCCTTTTTGTAAACAAATTATACATATCCTGGTGTTTTAGCTTTGTAAATTGACCCTATTGCTCCCTTAAATGAAAACCTAATATTCTAAACCAGGTTAGGAACTGTAAAACATGAGCAAGCTATGTGTGAAGAGGTGATCCTGGTAAACGAGTTTTGCACTGAACACCAAAGATTGTTTGCCTACTGGTTCCAACAATTGAGCTCTGGGGCTACTCATAAACATTAGAGTGTATACAAGGAAGCCAGTTAGCTAATGCTATATAGGAGGAGCAGAATCCTTTTGCCTCAGGTTATTTCTTCTATATTCTTTTCGTGTCCAGTTTTCCTGCAGTATAGATCAGTACAATCCACTGTATAAAATGAATAAAAAATACCTTGTATAGGCTTATTCAGTATGGTAAATATCAATGCACAAAGTACAGCAAAGCAAATCCTGTGTTACTCAACCCAAAATTAAACTGCAGAGAGATGGCTGCACAGTCCAATAGATACCAATAGATGTATTCGGCACTCAGCTATCAGTAACAGAAGTGGTTTAACATCCCTATCTGCAACAAAACATGTCTGCTAAAGGACACTTGTGCTACTCACCTAAAAAAAACCAACCAACCAACCAACCAACCAACCAACCAACCAACCAACCAACCAACCAACCAACCAACCAACCAACCAACCAACCAACCAACCAACCAACCAACCAACCAAAAAAAACTGGGCAGCACAGTGGTGTACTGGTTAGCGCTTCTGCCTTGCAGTACTGGGGGTCCCTGGTTCAAATCCAGGTTGCTTTTTACAAGGAGTTTATGCTTGTGTGGGTTTCCCCCCACACGCTAAAGGCATGCTGGAAAATAATTGTCCCATGCATGTGAGATAGGGACCTTAGATTGTAAGCTCCTTAAGATCAGGGAGTAATCTGAATGTGCAGCTAAGCGATGTGAAAATTGTTGGCGCTAGATACTCAGCTCTGCCAAAACAGGGCACTACAGCAGATTCTGCATTTTGTTACTAAGAGAAAAGGGTAGTTTGAAATTTTGAAGAAAAATTTTTTTGAATTGGAGTTTAAAAGAGTTTTTGGGTTGATTCCTATTTTATGAAGAATAAAAATAACTTTTTTATTTGCCTTTTAGGTGCTGGAAAAGAAAGCAGGAATGGCCAAACAATCTTCAGCAAGGAGACAGCACATTCACAAGATGCAGATACAGGAAATAAACCGCAAGCGTGAAGAGGTGGGAAAAACAATGGTGGGAACTACACAGTGGAAAGACGTTAGTACTTTTTGGGGAAGTATTGGGTGTCCATTACTAAACAGAAAGTCAGGAGGAGAAGAGAGGAAGGAGTAAGCAACCAGGCAGCACAGTAGCTTAGTGGTTAGCACTTCTACTTGCAGTGCTGCGGTCCTTGGTTCGTGACCAGGAGGATATGTGCATTGAGTTCCCACCAAAGGCAAAGAGACATGCCGGTTGATTATTTGGCCACACATCAGGAGATTTTGGCACAAGAAAATTCATTTTAGGAACGTTTGTTTTTTAATAGTTAAGTGACACTAAACTCAGGAGTTAAATCTTAAAAATACATTCAAGTACCTTTAACTATTAACAAAAATGTATCTTATTTGTGTATCACTCGGCTGTAGATCCTCAAATCATCTCTGAATTGGTGCTGACACTGTCCTTCTGTGTCTGTGTTTCAACACTGTGTGTTGAAAAGTAGCCACTCCAAGCTCACTCCTGTGATGGACTCAGGGCTGGATTTACCACAAGGCCAACCAAGGCCCCGGCAGCAGGGAGTAGAGAGCAGCAGGGGTGTGGAATTCCTATCTCCCGGCGCGCAGTTCAGGGTGCCAGGCAGGTAGTTGTTTTCTACATTTAGCCCTGCTTAAGCCCTGCCGTCGCTTGTTTTGTACAGGTGATTTTGGTGATGTCGCCGAGTAAGAGGAACCTGGCCTTGGGCAGCAGAGACAGTAAATCCGGCCCTGAATGGACTACAATTTCATGTTTAGTTTACTAATTTGTATTGAAACTGTAGTCCATCATTGGAGCGAGCTTAGAGAGGTGACTCCATGGAGAACAAAAGTAGCTACCCCCCAGAAGGAAGGACAGTGTCAGCATGAATGAGATTAGTGTCACTTTAATGGGGTCAAATTGACGATTGTTTTCGACTTTCGGGACGAAAAAAGTCGAATGAACGAATTTCTAAGAATGAATGTGGATTTTGTTCAGGAAACTCCATTCATTCAAACCTCTGACAGCATTTCTAGTCTTTGGCACATCCAGGCAAATGCCAAACAATAGAACAACCAAGCAGTGTAGGCAATTATTATGAGGACAAATATAGAGAAAAGGCACAACAAAAAGCTGTTGTGGGGCTAATGTTGCAAATCTAGATACTTCATTTTCTAATCAAGGGTAGGGCCAGGTTAGTGACCAAGCTGTATGCAGAATAAAGCAAGGTCACCAACCTAGCTTTGCCTGGATCGTAAGTCTGGGGGAACAGAATTAGAAATGTTTTAAGAGGTAAAAAGTTCCCCGATTTGCCTGAAGTTCTGCCTGTTGTTTACTGTAATGATGCCAATGAAAGAAGAATTCTAAATGATTGCTACTTGTATAGTGCAATAAAAAGCAGAGCTAGGACACAGCCACTCATCCTATCGCTCTTTGCAGTGACATCTTTCGGTGTCTTTTGCTTGTACAGATGAATCATTTGCAGTCTCAGACAGAAGTGAAGAGGAACATCCACCGAGAGAGTAAGATCAATAAACACAAAATGAGGGAAATGAAGACTAACAAAGTGCGAGAACATGCAATGAGGTGTCATGAAGATGAAGATTTCCTGCCGCTGGAACATGATGAAACTTTTAATATGGATCATGGTGAGATTTACAGTGTAAATATATTGCTACGTGTAGACTCAGAGCGCTTCCATCACAGAGCCGAATATATCCTTTACCGCTCCCCTGATAAACATTGAATCTGATACCTGCTGTGCTTGCTTATTGTTACAGTTAATTTATATTTGGTTATAATGATAATTTTTTCCGAAAAGTGTGGGATGTGTACGGCCGTTTTTAGCAGCAGGATTTCTGCACTGCTATGCGGAGAATAGACTCACTCTTGTGTCAGCCGCCATTGGTAAGCACAGTGTAGACAGCAGTTTGTATGGACCCATATGCGTTCCAGGAGTATTGCAGAGTAGATAATACACTGGCAGTATAGGTGGGTGGGACTTGGTCATTCTTAATAGGCCATTGGACAGGGCCGTAAGGCACACCTCAATGATGATACTCTTTTGAGCAAATTCAGCCCCTTGTGTAAAGTGCCTGTTATAGTTCAAACTACTGCTAGAATGTTCTATCCAAGGCAGCATGGAGTCTGACACAACTCGTACAACTTTTTAGGGACATCAAACATCAGGTTTTCTTCTGGAGACATGTCCCAAACAAATGTCATTGTTAAGTCAAACTGTTTACAGAAAACTAGTTTTTGCTGTCCTATAATGCAATAGCAAAATAGATACTATTGTGGCAAACGTATGTGGGCAATGTAAACGTTTGGCCAGGAAAGTACATATGTTTAGCTGTTTCCATTGTACTAGAGGAGCACTTGCTTAAACACCTAGACAAATTTTCCAAAAATTCGGACATGTCCGAATTTCTAAATCCCAATGCATCTGAATGCATCCAAATCCAAATTTCAGTTTCCAAGTTTTGGATCCCGTCCGAATTTCGTTAAAAAACGAGATTGAATTGGACATCTGACCTTTCTGTTCAACCGGATGAGTTTTCCGGTTTAATGCATCTGAATGGGTCTGAATCAGGTTTAGTTTTATGTATATATGGGTCACAATGTTGCCACTACGAATATTCGTTCGTATTACAGAATACTAAAACTGATGCTCCAAGACCCAAATGGAGTCCGAATTTCCAAATGGCATTCAAGAGCACCCAAATGCCATTCGGGTCTGGAAATACACCCTTCATAGAAGCTGATGTAGGACAGCAGAAAGCTCAAAGGCTATACCCACGTGGGTTTTGGCTACCAAACTTTATAAATAAAAAGACCAGCAGCACAAGCTGATGGAGGACTTCAATTCACCACACGGGAAAATCCATTTTCGTGAGAGCGCAATGCCAATAGTCCTGTTTTAATAAGGAAATTGTGGACCAGCTATGAAGGAAGCTAAGTGACTTTTAGTGTATTCTATTGCATATAGAGTATTGCAGTTGCTAGGAAAGGATATGTAGCGTGCACATGTGTGCGTACTGTATATGTATAAATATTTGTAGCAGTCTGCATGCTTTGTGTTGTTATCCTCAAACTGTAAGTATTTTGTATATGCAACATTCTTGCTTTGTAAAAACACATGAATACTACTACTGGGTCAGTTATCTTCGTTTTACTACAAGAATTAGACAAGCAAGCTAGCAATGTTAAAAGCAAAACACCTCTAATCATCCTATGCAACCCGTTCTTTTCGCTGAATTTAGGTCCATGTCACATTTGCGACCTTTTGGTAAGAACCCGTCAGCGACGGGATCACTATGCAGGACAAAAAAATTCCCATTTGCACAGGTCACCCCCTTGCTGACTGGATGAGCAACACATTGTTCTGTTGCTGGAGACTTACATTCTGCAGAGATGCCATCAGCAAAGGAGCTTCACTCATCTATACAGCAAGAGAGCCACACATGGAAGCAGATGAGTATTTTCCTTACAGATTTGGTGATCATGTCACTGGTGAGTTGTCACCTCCAAAGATTCTGGATTCCCTCCCCCCCAAAAAATATTACTATTTGACAGGGTACCTGTCAAAAATATGACAGGTGACCCTGTTCATGAACTACTGAAATCATTAAAGGAATGCCACTGCTTAAAATGAGTGTGACATATTGTGGTTGATGCTGGGAAGTGTTGAAGCCTTTAAAGGGTAAGATCTCCAATTTGGGGTCTAAAGTGATTATTGCATACTAAAGTCGGCCATACACCTGTAGAATATCCATCCAATGAGCAGGATGAAAATGTTTTCTTATTTCTTATCTGCGCCTGGGATTCCAATTATAGTAGCAGTCTGGATGAAATTTTTAAAGAGGAACTTCACCGTTATCTTAAAAATGATAACAAAGGCACCTTTAGATTTTTTTTTAGCAATTGGAATCTACACACAGATGCTTAAAGATAGTTGCAGGCTTTTTATCCTTTGCATACCCTATTTTTCTTTTCCTCCCCATTCTTCTCATGGTAGCCATTTTCACTAAGGGCAGATTAATCCATCTCCCTCTACTTCTTGGCTCTCTGGCTCTGCCTCCAAGAACATGTGACAATGTACACCGTCTGAGAGAGGAAAAACTACCTTTTCTCCAAGATCTCACAAGATTATACAGTTTACAGATGAGATTTCCCAAAGAAGGCACTGAGGATTTAATCCTCCCAGGATGCATCTGTGAGGCCAGGGCTACATCAGTAGTGCCTCACTTCACCACCAATTGGAAGAACAACAATTATAAAAAAAGTAAAAATGTTTTAACTAATGATTGTAAGATGATTTTATATCAGCAGTACAGCTACTGCTGGTATTATTTTTGGTTAAAGTAGGAAAGGATTCACTTTGAGGGCTTTCAAACAAAATTGTTGATGGCAAAGATCAAATGCTTTGAACCAATGTTTGACCAAATTCGAACAGTGTATGGCCAGCTTAACTGGAATTAATTCAACTTTAATAAACATATAACTATTGTTCACACCGCCTGTATATCTTATTTTCAGCTTGGCTCATTACAGTTGCTACTCCAGACATCAGTTATAGTTGTACTATATTTTTCCATTTAGGAAATAGCTGGCATTGGAACATGAGGGACCCTGGCTGTACACCAGATTGTCAGCTGCAGAAGACCAAGCTGAATTTGTGGTTTCAGCTCCAGAAACAAGGGATTGAGTCCAGTTATGACAGTTCAAGCAGTGACTCTTTGGACAGCTGGATCAGAGAAGATGCACGGAGTCATCGGAGACCTCTCTTAGTGAGGACGCGGACTGAGAAAATCCCTACTTTTGATGAGTTCTATGATCATGAATTTTGAATCTAAAGTTGGTTTTATAAACGCTGTTTTTTTCTGACCAAAGGAATTAATTTCCTGTAAATGACAACTGATGGCATATAAAGAGTTAAAGTAGTATTACATTTTCAAATTTTTTTTTATATTGAATCCAGCTTAAACAAATACACATTCCCTAGAAAGGTATTACATTCATTTTTTTTCCGAAGCACTTAGTCATCTTGTTTCAGAACAGCTGGCTCCAACTCTCTCACCTCGGCTTCCTGAACGTCCACTCTAATACAAAGTCACAAGGGACAGAGCAGTCTCAAGCAGCCGTCAATCTACTAGCTTGTAGAAGGGAGGAGCATGGGGGACTGAATGGCTTGCCTTGCTGTGCCTGTGTGTTTGTGGAGACACATACAGCTTGCTAGCATACATGAAGAGTGGCTCTTTAGGACCATGCAAGGGAAAGGAGCCACCCTAAAACAGGATATCAGAACCAGTGCTCAGGGGATCAGCTGATTTTGCAGGACGCTAAAACTTTTAAAAATCAAGAAGCAGAACGTCTCTTTCTCCCCACTGATGGTTCAGCAACTCCAAGCTGACTTTTAGTTTCATATTTGCCATACTTCAATTAAGTATTTAGGGACCTTCCTCCCTTCTGATCTTGATAAGTTGCTTTATTTGAACTTTGAGGCTCTACTTCAAAGTATGAAGTGTGATCTGACTGGATATGATAGGAAATCTATATCCTGGCTAGGCCATTGTGGGCTGCTGTGCTATGACGGAGCTCCATCCATCCAGCTTGTACAGTTCCCTTGCATGCCCTGTAGAGGTGTTGGGAGCTACAATGTGATGTCAGTCCAATCCAGGCACCTCTACAGCGCACGCAAGGAAGCTGTAATCAATGCACCTTTGGATGGAGTTCTTTTATTATTCATATAGCGCTGACAATTTATGCAGCGCTTTATATAGTTCACTTTCACCTAATCCCTGGCCTCAAGGAGCTTAAAATCTAAGGACCCTATATCACATGCATACATACAAGGGCCAATATTGACAGGAGCCAATTAACCTTCCAGCATGTCTTTGGAGAGTGGGCGGAAACGGAGTACCCAGAGCAAACCCACATAAGCACAGGGAGAACATGCAAACTCCTTGCAGATAGTTACCTGGCCAGAATTTAAACCAGGTACCCCCAGTGCTGCAAGGCAGAAGTGCTAACCACTACGCCACTGTGCTGCACCTTTGTGACCATAACCCTTGCCCACCCCACTTCAGGCAGAAAATCAGAGTCGGGCAGCATATTTGAAAAATGGCTGATTGGCAGGAGAACTGACATTGCTGGTGCCTCTCACTTAGGGCAGTGAAAGGCACGCGGCGACCCACTGAACATGGGGTTTCAACCCATTTTTGGTTCACAGCACACCAGTTGCAAACCATAGTTCTAGAAGTCTTTGAGTGCCTTGTTGTCTTTTTTTGTCTTTGATCTTAGATCATTCACTGTGAACCACCACCCGTTTATTATGACTTGCCCTAATGGGGACAACCTTTGTACACTATACCTTGCACTGTATTCAGTTTTTATGTGCTAATAAAACTGAGACTGAGTTTTAGCGAAAAATGTAAAACAGATCAGCTTGATGTAAATAATCTTATTAATATGTGTTAATGTTTCAACCCCCTTGCTTTTCTGTATTGTTGTAATTATATACAGCATGTACATGTGGGCAGCCATATTTACTGATCACAGGCTCTGCTTCCTGCTTTGCAGTGCAACACTGTACAGTAACTGTTCTTTAATGCTCTCCCATGCAATGCAAGTCTGTGAATGGTCCACTCATTGTAACAACGCAGTACCCGAGTGGCTGATATTTCAACAGTTTTTCAAGTGTATCTAAACCCAAGAACAAAAATATAATATAGTGCAGCTCACCATTCCTTAGAAGTGGTGGCCGTTACATTTATTTTCACCTGCTGACCTTGGCAATAACACATTTTGGGGTCCATGTATCAACATATTGCAGAGCCATACTCCCTGTGAATCTCTGTGTGAATAGAGGAAAATACAAAGGTTCTTACAATATTATCTTTTCAGGTCAAATGTTACATTTGGAAAATACTGCATTTTGGTCACTAGATGGAGCTAGGGTGCACAGGAAATAAGTATTTTCATGATGCAGTCTTTTCTAAATGTTACATTTAACCTGAAAAGTAAGTCTACTGAGAAGTTGTTTTTGCCTCTATTTGTAGAGAACTAACAGTCAAAGAAATGTGCAGGGAGAATGGCTCTGCAAATTGTTTATGAATAGACCCCACTGTGCCCTAGGGTGACAACATTCACTCACTGCGCTGTATCTACAGTATAAAGGAACAGGGCTGTCACACTAGGACCCCACGGCCACTCATCTATTCCCAGTCGCTGGATGTGTGCATACCAGGGACATGCGGTCAGGGTCAGTTTTATGGAGGAAACTGTCAGCTTCAAGTCTGAAGCTGACAGCTTTTCCTTCATTCAGATCGGCTTGTAACAGGTTACACAGCAGGGAAAGCCTCCCGACTGTGTAACCTGTCATGGACGGTGCACTGCCTGCTAATTACAGGTGGCGCTGCATCCGGATTTTCACAGGTAGTTATGTTACACAGCAGCAGGCTTCCCCTCTGCTTGTGTAACCTAACTACTGAGGCAAGAGCTGCAACAGCCTCTACTCTGTGTTAGAGGCGTGAGCTCTGTGGGTGGTTTGGACCAATGGCAAAGCGCCATTGATCTCGATGCCTCAGCAGTGACGAGCAAGTGAGGGATAGGGAGGCTCCTCTCTGTCTCCTCCCTTCCTCCTTCACACTAGCTTGAGGACCGGGTTGGGGGGCAGGGCTTCAGTGGGATGGGGCTGGGGCTTCAGCGGGATATGGGTGGTGATGCTGGGGGCAAGGCTGGGGAAAGCCTCACCCAGAACCGAAGGTACCGCACGTCACTGGTGCATATATGCGGATAGCTGCGTTACCTGTCAGTCTATCATTGCTTTGTACGCGTTTCCTGTCTGCAGTTGATCACAAACGCCTGTCATTCTACTCACACAAATGTGGCCATTGTTGTCAGTGTATGGCCCTAATCGCCCGTGTGAGTGAGTTATTTTGCATTGCATTTTTTTTTTTTTGCACATTTTCCAGTTCCACGGGGGATCAGGTAACCAAAAAGGGACTGCTTTTTCATGATGAAGGTTGCTTTGTATATTTGCAAGGTAAAAAAAAAAAATCAAGAATCAAGAACTGGAAGGTTGGGAGTGACAGAAGATTTTGAGGTATGTTTGTAAGGGAAACAGTAAATGTACAGTGAAGGGGAATGGATATTTAAAAACAAAACAAAACAAAACTGGGAACTGGCCTTTAAATAAACAGTTCTATGTATATTATAGCCACTGCCTTTCCCTGTCAGGCTTCCAGTGTGCCTTCAACAACCAGGTGCTCCTTACCAGGGTACCACATATGTGGAGCTCCTCCACATAAAATATGGATTTCCTTTCTTTTAGAAATTCCCCAGAGTAGAAACTTTATGCACCGAATATTGCAACATATGTAATAGTATTATGTTTATCTGCGGTGAGGAAGAAGGTTCACAAACAAAAAATCCGTTAACATCTCTGTCTTATCGATATTAATCTTTATGTGCGCAGAAGTATATTGAGACACAAATGTACTGCCCCAAGCTCTAAAAAAAATATAACTTCATTTATTACTCATCTCCTAAATTTTTTACCCATTAGGCATGGTGTGGAGCTAAGATTAATACATTTTCACAGTTTTCATCGAATTGTAAACACTGGTGGAACAAAAGCCTAGAGCAACAGTAATGTAATCAGAGAAATCCCAATCTACTTGTAATGAAAAATATAACCAAGGGGAGTGTGAGCATGTTATTAGTAGTTGATTTTCTATTTACATATGTATGTTTCCACTAAACAAATCTTGATTACAGATTACAGACACATTGCTTAAAACCCCTGGGCCCCGATGCAAGAAAAAGGCCTTCCACCAAGCCACAACCCAACACCCAACAAACGCAACACGCATAAACCTTGCAGATATAACACAAAATGATTCAGGGCCCCTAACAACCTAAGGAACACATTGGGGCATATTTAAATAACAGTCAAAAGACCTGGAAAGTCACATTGAAGCCTCATTCTTAATGAATGGGATGTAAGGGAGTAGGCAGTATTCTTCCCACCCCTGGACCACTCTCGTGGCTTGTTCTGAATTCTACAATTAGCATTTGGACCACAATGTCCAACCTCATCCCAGAGTGAACTGAGACATTCATGTCACTACACATGTTTAGACCTGGCATCAATCTCAGAGCTTGGCATGGGTTAGAACAAGCTGTCAAACACTGCTGGAAAAGGCCACAATGTGACAGAGCACTTAAATTAACCTGTGCTAGGCCCATGTAGCATGGGCACTCGACGTGCGTTTGCATTTGTATGTGCTTGTACATGTGGCGGGCGACTTTAAAAAAAAAATTGTGTTTTTTAAATTTGTTTAATATGTGGCTTTTATTTTTAACTTAATTGCTATCACATAGGGGGCTAGCAAGCCCCCTATGTGATAGCAAAGAGGATGTGACAGGTCCATTTTATGGAGACATCAGGGACCTATTAGACCCCTAATGTCACCTAGGGACACCAAAGAAGCTAATGAAGTAGACATCTGCCCACCCGTATTTATGTGTCTGCCGTCTGGCCGTTTATATACAGTGGCCAGAAGGTAACTAGTTAAATAAAACCATTGGGCCCCTTTCACACAGGTACTGTCTGCTCCATCCTAGACAGATCCCCTGCTGAGCCAGATCAGAACAGAGGTGGATGTCACATACTGTATGCGGCATCTGTGTCTGTTCCGAATATTACTCCAGAAAAACTGATTCATGTAACCAATATGGTGGCCGGATAAACGGTGGATATAGGCAGATACATATCTGTTTACATCTGCCCACCCATAGGGATGTATTGTAGTTCATTTTTGGTTCATGTAATTACAGGTCAAAAATGCACTGACAAAACATGTGAAAGGCAACTTTAAATTCAAGTGGTCATTCTCCTTC